TGCTGCTTTTCTGCAAAGCATGAAGATGTGGAAATAATGTATATGGCAAACTCATTTAGTATTTATTCACAAGTTTTGCACTATTATAAAATGTCTTAATTTGATCCTTATCTCATTAAAGACTAAAAAATTATAGTTTCATGTATATCAGTTCGATTATTTAACATGTTTGTTAAAGAGCAAATTATTTCGTGCACTGGGGCTTCAGAGGACAGCCAGGTTACTGTAGGCAGGTCGGTTTTCTCACCATGTCTTTATATTATCCTGCAAAGTTGTCTTAAAAGGAATAAACCACCCTTAATTTTTCACTTAGCCAGACCGGTGGGACTGAGATTTTTTTTACCACGAGAGACATGAATAGACCACAGCAAACAGTTAGTATATTTCTACATTATTAACGTCACTAAAACATGATTAAAAATGCAATACAACTGCTCACCCATCTAAGTTTCTTAACCAGATGTTTAATGATGTGCCAAATATCAAGGGTATGCTTTAAACGCCATGCCTTGCATTTCCCCTGTTCTAGATCTGTGAGGGGAAAAAAAAAACCTTTTGAGTAACAAGTTGATCTGAACATCCAGACTATTAATATTGCAGCCATTTCTTTACCCAGTAAAGCTGTAGTTTGTGGGTGGGCATCGGTGACCACCTTTGCTATATGTATCCCCTGCAGAAGTGCATCCATTGATTGGATGAAACACTCCTCCTCCATGACATCACAGAGTTTCTGTTTGTTTCACGTTTATCCACAGAGAAAATGTGTGTGATGTCTCTGGATTCCTGTTCAATTGTTGTGTGGGTAATACTGTGCGCTATGGCCTGCAGGATGCAGATGGATTTTCAGCTGAATGAAAATTATTTTATTTTGAAAAACCGCAATGAACATACGTTTTTTTATATACCAATATATGTGCAAACAAATATGGCACTTAACAGTAATTGAAAACTACAGAGTGCATGGAAGGGGTAGGTTCATTTAGGTATTGAGAATATCAAGTTAACACCACTTAAAGAAAATAAAGTGACCAAAATACACAAAAATGAGGGCTGTATGCTTCAGAAATGATGCCTATTAGTGGTAAGCTCTATCAACATTTTATACAGGCCCTCATGTTTTTCCAATATGTTTCAGAGATTTCTACGTCAGATATAAAGGGACTTCTGATAAAAAAAAAATGCAAAAAATTGGTGATGCTTTTAGTAATAATGGAAGAATTTTGCCTGCCAAAATATGAGATTCCAATACAACTCTGAATTTGGTTTTTGAGCAAGAAAACCATCTTTCTAAGTTATTCCAAATTATAGTTTTGTTGCATTCATAGAAAAAAATGGCCTGTTGTTTCCATGTGCATTTCATAAAATGAGCATCTGTTATCATCATTGATGAAAATAATTCTTATTCTTTTGAGATGTTTTAAGATTTTAAAGTGTGTTTCCTTAGCTTTTGGTTGTATAGGAAGTTTCAGATAGAAGCTTCTTAAATGTTTAATAGCTATTTTTTTCATAATTGTAGAGTGTGTTATTTTTATCTTAACAGGGAATAGAGGTTTGTTTAAATATTTCCTTATCTTAGGGTTAATTCATATTTTTGTCTATGAGTGAAATCCCATTAACAGCTAGAGTGGCTAATTGAGGGTTTATGGAATGATAAGCTATTAAATGTTGAGTTTGATTAATGAATTGTGTTGGTAATGCTTTAACTAATCCAGTTAATTCAGTTTTAGGGGGTAAAAATTATACTTCCTGCAAAATTGTCCCTATTTAATTTCAATTCAAATCAGTTTATTTATATAGCGCCAATTCACAACACGTCAACTCAATGCACTTTACAGTTCACCAGATCATAGAGTCAAATTGATTCAAAATTTTCTATCTAAGGAAAACCAGTTGATTGCATCGACTCATTGACTCGAATGCAATCCCTCACACTAAGCATGCTTGTAGCGACAGTGGAGAGGAAAAACTCCCTTAAACAGGAAGAAACCTCCAGCAGGACCAGGCTCAGTGTGAGCGGCCATCTGCTGAGGCTGACTGGGGTTCAAGGAGACAGAAGCGGTAAACACGTATATAACAGATCTTTTTTTTTTTTTTTCCCATCCAATTTCTATGGAAAGGTTTATTGTTATATATTATGAATCTGTTTTTACATATTATAAAGTGTGGAGAATAGTTATGTATAAAGAGAATGTTTTAGTATAATAGGTGTTTATGAAACTGATTATTTAATGGGGATTTAATCTGCATTAAAATCAGCTAGAAGTCAAAGTTTTAGACATCCAATTTTGTTGAAGAGATAATTGGGGATAAAATACCAAAATAAGTAAGTTTAGCCATTTAACTGTAAAACTACAGTCAGCATCAGTTATATTCAGACCACCATCTCTAATTTATTTTACCATGTGATCTTTTTTTTTAGGTAGTTCCATAAATGGACACACTTTTTTCGCATCATACGAATCACCTGATCTGGGAGTTGAGCTTACCGCCTCATAAAAAGACGAGGAAGACTTAAGGTCATTGGAGGAAGATGGCGTCCTCTAGAGCCATTAATGAAATATGGATACATCTCATGTTTTTACATCTCCCCTGAAATCTCATGCATAGTCTTTAACATTTTTAAAAGACAAAAGTGCTGGTAAATGCCTTTTTATATAACTTTTTTTTTTTTTTATCTCGTCTGCTTTCCTGTAATTATGCCTTATACTGTTTAATGTTGCCTCTTTATTTTCTGTTTTTCTTTTCCATGTTAAATCAAACCTGTTAAGGTTTTTATGGTTTGTATTTGTACCTTTTGAAATGTATAAAGTTAAATTTTCCCCCTGCTATGTTGTGCGTTTTCAAGCATTGTATCGTGAAAAAACATATCTACCTTTAACATTAGTTTCTTTAATGGAAATACAGTTGTTTATTATTAAACCCTAATGGTGCTGCAAGCATCATTCTATATAGATGTTTTTTATACTATGCTGTTGGGTCTATTTATTATTTTAAACATGCAAGAATAACTTCAATAGGTATTTTTTTATTAATTTTTCCACAAAATTGAACAACTTTACAATCGTAAGTGTAGCGAATATATTTAGCATGTGTTGCAAAGTGTGACCTTTTAATATAAAACCACACATATAAAGATTTTCTTTTATCAAAATCCTTTATGTAGTTCAGTTTTCTTCCAACACAATCATCCAAACACATTTTACAAAAGGAAAGTCTGGTTGTCCTCTTTTCTTAACCAACCCCCACGATTAAATCCTTTTAGCAGGCACATATCCGTATTCCAATTATAATATTTATATCTTTATTTATGTACACATCATCTCTCATTACAAAAATCCCAACTATAACCCCCTTAGAAGGATACACAGAGCTACATAAAATTGGTAGGCTAAAAACAAAAAAGAAAATCAACATTTAAAAAACATTCAAAACAAAAGTTAACTTCCACATTCATTGTTTCAATAATTGCAACATTACTTAAATAAAACAAAATATATAAAAGCCTTGTTTGAAATGAGGTTTCGCAAAACATAAACTCATTTTTATTTCCCAGTCACACCTTTGTGCTTGTTGTTACTTTAGCTTTGGGAAAGCATCACAGAAAGCTCACTAAGCAGGAGTTAAATGAAGCTAGAGAACGTTCCAGAGCAGCAGAGGCGAAGTAGTGTTGTCCTTAGAGGTCTCTACCCTTTAATAGAAGTGCTGGAGGTGTGATTTTAAAACCTTTTGATTAAATGTGAGCATAAGTAGACACGTCCAGGCGCCCGCATTACGCCTGCTGCTATGCACATCTGGGCAACAGAAGGAAACATTTAGAAAGGGGGAAAAAAAAGGGGGGGGGGGGATCAGATTTACGCTAAAAGTGCACTTCAGCCTTCGAAAAGGGGGGAATTAATTACTTTAAAGCCACAGCTGTTTTCTTTTCATCACTCCTCCTTATATACATCATTTATCTGCTGAGTTATAAACATGTTAGACTCCTAAAACAGCAGGTTTTCATTAATGTTCCAGCAGATGGACCTCTGGTGTGAGTGGGCGGGGCTAGCCGGTTAATGTGCTTGGCATTGTAACAGGTAATGAAAAAAAAATAAGATATATAAAAATGAAAGATTAGCTGTGTTGAAATAAGAGAATATTGGAAATCTGACGCTGCCTGCTGCTCCAATCAGATAAAAGTCGGAGGTTTTTGCAATTTCTACAACTGACCTATTGGGGGCAGCCATGAGAGCGAACTGCAGCTAGACTGCTCTGAATACTGTTATCAGTAGAAGAAGTGAATGGAAATATTACTGCTGTTATAAAGTGGTTTGTAAAATGAAGATAAAATCAGTAACATGACGTGTTTTACGAGGTCGAATCAGCGAGGTACTTCGCTAAAAGGAGCTGCTTCTGTAGCTAGCATGCTAATGGCTGATTATTACACCAACAGACACACTGAGCAAATGATTCAGAAGCATAGTTAAAAAAAAAAAATGATTTAGTTTTGGTTTGGGGGACCATTTTGTAGGTAATTTCATTTAATTAAATCTTATTTTTCAGATAGCGGTTATACATATTCAAGTTTTCTGGTCATTTTTTTTCTTGCCTCGTTTCAAGTTAAGTTAACTGACTTAAATAAATCCCATTTTTAGCCCTGATCAAACTGAATAAAAGTCTATTTTTTTGGTATGAAACAAAACATGGCGGGTAGAAATCAAGGGATGGAAAACGCTATCAGAGTTTGGCATCATTCGGCTCACACGCGCAACTGACAGAACTTATGGGAGGCGAAGTTCCACAGAGATGAGTTTCAACCACAGGGATTGGTTAAATCAAACGTTCCCGTCAGCGAAACGCCGCTAAAATGGATACTGCCAGCAGCCATCTTTAAATTGGCTGCTTTAGAATGGCTTAATCAGGATTCAACTGCAGAAACTAAATAGAGGTAAGAAGTAGGAGTTTCTGTTTATGATCTCAGGATGAAAAAAAAAATATATGGCAAGGAAAAGGTTATCTATGGGAAAATCCTTGTAGTGCGACAGTCTGGAGGTCAGAAGGAGAAAAGGTCTGTCAGTCACTTTAGATTTAAAAACGCCTACTGGATTCAACTTAAATCTCAGGAGCTGGAAAAAAAGGTGTTTTTTCTTTTCTTAGATTTTCCTCCACAATGACACCAAACTTGCTGCCAAATGGCACATCACCTCATTCCTTTCTCTTTTTTTTCAGTTGTCACACCAAGACTCATTACTAGTCTGGATTATCTAAACCAAAAACTGTAGCTTAATAAAAAATAACTTGTTCTGTGCTCCTAAAAGCAGGAGCAGAAAAACAACCAAACAGGAAACCAAGAAAACACTGAAAAAATTAAATTATAGATACTGCAAATCAAATTTTTTTGGTCAGTTTACTTCACTTGTTCATTGATCGTTTTAAAATAAAGTTCATTGTTTTTTTTGTTTTTGTTCTTTTAAGATAAATAAGGAGCTGTGCTCTTTTTTTAGAGATGTATTCCCACCCTTCCAGTGGCTGCCTCTCATCATCTGACTTCAATACTGCTTTGCTGCTAGCACCAAATCCTTTTTATAAACATTGCAAACTACTTCTTAACGCAGTGCTCAACTCACACATTCATTCTCTAACCCTACATTTGATCTCAGAGGGTCTGAGGCGACTTGCCGGACTTCTAACGGTGCTCCCGGCTGCTGCTTGTATTTTCGGAGCTTTTCCACCCCTGTGGGGACACTAATGTAGCGAGTTTCTTCTGTAGCCTTTAATGAAACATGATGGCGTCAGCCTCGAGGAGAAGCAGGACAGTCCCCTCACCCGTCCTGGTGCCACAGTGCAAAGCGAGTGTCGGAGCGAGGGTTTCTTTGTCTCTTAAGGTGCTTGTTGCAGTGTGGTCTTGAAAGGATTCGAAATCCTGGAGGCTGCGCCTGCAACCCGCATGCGCCTCGACCAGTTTCCCCCAGCGGCGTTCCGCGTCGAAACCTCCGCCTGCAGGGAATAAAGCCCGGATACTTGTGGGAGCGTACTGGAGGCAGCCGGCGGCTGTCCTGCCAGATGGACAGTCTGCCGGGGGGATTTTTTTTTTTTTTTTTCAGTCTCTGGACTGGTAGAACAGGATGTAACCCGACTCAGAGTTCTTGGAGATGTCGGACGTCAGGCCGTAGAACTCCTCTATCGCCTGTGCGTCGATTTTCTGAAAGAGGAGAAAGCAGAGGTTTTGGACTGGGACACGATCGGGGCTTTGAATGGTACATCATGTCCCGATTAAACAAACTGCAGCTGGATTTTATGGCATATTTGTCCAAAGCACTAATGGACTAATTCACCCCCAATCTGTGACTCATATCACTAGAGAACATTTAATCTCCTCACAGCTTCTTAGACTCAAACATCATCTGGTTTTCTGCAAATTCTTGGCCAATTATGAGCTTTAACATCAAATTAAGAAACTAAAACATCAAACTAGAGCTCCACGTATTTGTTAGGAGGTAAAACATGTGGCAGACTGATGAATATCTGTTCGTTAGGTCTGTTTATTTTCTACACTATAGATCTAAATGATGCTTCTGCGCTGCATGAAAGAGAAGTAGATAAAAAAATGTGGAAATTTAAGAAAAGTTTCGGTTCCAGGTGGAAACGCCCAAGCTTATTTTAAAACCTCATGCCAGATTTAAAAGAAAAAAAGGCAAAAGAGACAAGTAAATCTTCCCAAAGCATTAAAATGAGAAGTTAGGATTTCTGTTGTGCAAGTTCAGCAGAATCTTCCAGACCAGATGTCTGAGTGGGCCTCCTTCTGTGTAGTGGAAAAATACCGCCGATGCCTGATGGTGGGTTTCAGTCCCTGAGGAGAACGTCTGTGATATTCTGAGAGGAAAGTGTTTGAAAGAAAACGGATCAAGTGAAGCACTGAACTGAATCTGCAGCTTAAATGAGAAGGATTTCACAGTCCCTGCTGTCATTCATTAGGACCAGAAACTGTTCACCTCAAACCAAACAGCAAACCGATGCACTTCAGCTCCTACCGCTGCAAAAACAATCTAAAAATGAGTCAACATTGCTTTAAAAGTGTTTTTACCCTTCATTTGAGTAGAATAAATAAGAGGATTTGCCAATGAAATTAGCATTTTTACCCTTAAAAATAAGATAATCAGATAACATGCCCTTAAAATAAGAGACTGCAGTTGTTTATTATTACTATAAATGTAAATTGTCTTATTCTATTGGCAAATGTCTCACCTACCAGCTCAGTTCAAGAAAGAAACTTACTTAGATTTGTATTTTCTGCAGTGTTTATTTCCTTAATTCATCATTTTTTTTTAAATATTATTTCCTGGAACCAGAACACTAAAGAAAACTAGATTCAAACATTCTCTGCTTGACCGGACCCACAGCATCACATCCAAATGTTCAAAGGTTAACCTGAAGTCCAGATTGTGGGTTTATATTAAGGCCATTGGTTAACCAAGACTTAAGAGATCATTGATAAACATCAGACTGTGAGAAATAAAGAGCTTTACACTGAAAACAACTAATTTTATTTCAAAATAAAGTGATTAAACTTCAGAAGGTTGGTTCTGTTATCTGGCCTGGAAAATCAAATTAAATTGGTATCAGAAAAAACTAAACGATTAGTATTTTTTAATATTTTTACTAAAAGATTTAAAAAAAAGAAAAATTACATTTTGAGATGCATATTTCAGCTTTAACTGCAGCAATAAACCTATTTAATTTCGCATGATAGACCAAGAGAGAGTGGTGCCTAAATTTACAGTGAAAGCAAAATAATATGTGGTTTAAAATAATAGTTAATCGATTAAAAAACTCTGACATGTATTGAAAGTCAACCCTGTTTAACCCCGCCTTAATAAAAACCAATCCCACCATTACTTTAAAACACCTTTACCTAAACATTTCCATTCCAGTGGTGATCGAATCTATACTGGTTTATCAGAGAAAATACCAATTAAAACATCGGTGAGAATATGACAAAATGTTGAGGGGAATAAATATTTTTCCAAGGCAGTTTACATTAGGAAAAAATGGCTGGCTGAAAGGAGTTAAAGTAATTCTAGTCCCTATAATGAAAATAAAATAAAAAAGGATTTGTTTCAATAAAACATAAAATCTGCCTCTAAGACGGAAAAAAAAAAAAATCAAGATCCTATTTTTCCAATCTTCAACGAGCCAAATCTAGTTCACCCTGACCAGGAAACTCTCTGTAGCATCATCACTGATGTTTTCATCACAAAGTAAAAGCACAGAGCTGGAAAGCAAGTAAAACACCACCGTCCATTAATTCGTCTAATATTTCCTCTTGTTTGCAGTGAATCTGTTTGACCTCTTAATCTTATGACCATCGTGATTACTTTAGTCATTAAATACAACTCAACACACAGGAAAGGAAACTTAGCTTTAACAGCTGCTTTGCCATGTGTTCCTTTAGTTTTTACTGGCCTGTTAGTCATTGATTCATTTTATAATCTGTTATAATCTATTGGAGATTATATCCAACACTGATTTGGTGGACATGTAATCAAATATTGATTGTATTTTATTACATGTTATTCATTAGAGCAAAACACCTAATCTATGATGTTGTTCACTTGGTTCGTTATCTTGTCACGTCGTTTTCTTTCAATATTGGTTTTTGCTCTCTATTATTATTCTTAAACATTTTTAAAGCATGTGTTTTTGTTGTTTTTTTTTTTACTTTAAATAGCACCGCATTTCTAAATGGCAAAAAAATACTTCCTCTTCTATAAAATTAATGTTTATTATTTTGTATCATTTATTTAAAAAATTACAGATAAAAAAAAACAAAGCATCTGATCAAGCTCAGGCATTTGGTAGGCAGGTTTAGAGTTTGAACAGCAGGGGGCGTCTCTCTTACCTCCACAATGTCGTCATCAAAAAGCAGCCAGAAGCCGTGGCTCTTGACGATAGTGATGTAGTGTCCACGGTTGGGACCGCTGCAGAGCAGGGAAAGAGGAAGACAGACGGCGTGTGAAAAACATCCGTCAAACAGATTTAATACGCAGTTCATTTCTTTATGATGGAAAACAAGTTAAGAGAGAAATGAAACGACATCCCCAGCTGCAATTATGACAACAAATTTATGGGATAGGGGTGGGTGATATGGCAAAAAATTGTATGATATCTTATTATAAAAATCATAATTTCGTTTTTTATTAAAATCTTGTGTGTATTTTTGAGAGTACTTTACTCGTCTAACCAAACGGTTTCTGCTCCTATTGTATAAGGTCATTTTAAACCCACACGTCCACTTATATAGTAGCAATTTATGGTTGCCAAATGAGTGATTAAGGTTTCTGTCTTGGCACTGAAGAGTTTAGTGTAGGGATGCACGATATTGGGATTTTGGCCGATATCCGATAT